GTGGGGGTGAATCTCTTCGCAGGGCGTGTGTGAAGCGTCTGGTGCAGAGGTGATTATTGGAAGTTCATGCTTTCAGCTTAACTTTCTACATTCAGCTGCTGCAGCTGGCTAACCTCTTCTATGGGGTGAAAAGAGGAGACCAATGTAAAATCTCCTCCTGCCAGTATATAGCCTCTCCACCGCCAAGACCCCTGCAGTGCCTCCTCGTGGCCCCACACGTCAACTGGGTACCCTACAGTCCCAGGCTAAACTGCAGGGGATCTCGGAGCAACAGTGGGCCCCAGAGACATGGTGCAATAATGCTGTGGCATCAGTCAACCACTGTTCCAGCTATGGACAAATAGCTTCACTCCCATAGCCCTTGTCTTGTTAGGCCTCTATAGCCAAAATAAGACAGAGGCTATGAGAATACATCTCAGCTGAGATGTAGGTGGTGCGCCTAAGGTAACTCTATACTGGAAGGGATCTATTAGTCTTCTGCAGCCATGATGGCACACTGGTTGTGCTGAGCCTTAACCACACCATCTGCCTTCACTGCAGCTGATTAACAGTTACCAGTTCAGATTGTCTCCAAAGACTTGTGCATTGACAGTGAGGTCCAGAACATAATAATCAAATGCATCAGCTGTCTTTGTGAGACTGGGTTTTTGGTAACAATAACCTACATGGGAACGTATGGCCCACAGATCAAAACCCTTAAAATGTGGCATCAGTGCATCATGGGAATCACTTGGTATGACTACTACACACTGAGATACTCAGATAGGTCCAGAACCATACCACAGAAACCTGATTGGAAGACATCAAAGCAGCTGCTCATTGTTTAGAAGGCATTTAACATTTTTTAATACTCTTACTGATGAAATTGGTTTGAGATGGGTCTGTAGTTCTGAAGGACCAATTTGTCCAAGTTTCTCTTTTACAACAATGGTTTGATAATTGCTGTTTTTAAGGCTCAGGGGAAAGCACTCGACATAACGAATGAATCAAATCAGACAATTAAAAAGCAAAACCTTCTTAATAAAAGGTGGGGATAAAACATCGAGACAGCAGGAAGATGAGCTTAGCTGCTGAACAGTTATTCTAAACTTTTTCAGTTTGTTGGGCAGAATTGGGACATTTTAACAGAGTTTATTTTAACCAGCGAAAACATTGGTACTGCAGTCGGCATTGATGAGCAGACTTCTTTTCTAATATCCTGTATTTTTTAAGTAAAACTTTGTCATTGCAGGCCTTTTTAGTGTGGAGTTCATCGGCCACTGTGATGGGAAGGTTTGTTAACCTGTCAACTGTGGCAAATAAGGCCAAATAAGTATTGTTGATGTTTTTGTTGATAATCTTAGAGAAGAAAGATTCTCTTGCATCTTTCTGTTGTGAATTATACGTTCAGAACAAGTTTCTCTTTATAGATTTCATAGTGAGCTAAAGGGTGGTATTTATTCTTCCTTAAATAATTGTGGTATTTTTGCTTCAAGTCTTTAAAGTTCCGCGTATAATCTTTTGTCTACCTGATAATTTAATTTTAAGCATGTTTAAAAAATTAATCCACAAGTTTGAGCAGAGTTTTTAACAAACCCTTTGCTATTCTTCTTCTTATTTCTTTTAATTTCTACTTTTGTTGAGTTAAACCATGTTTGCAGTAGTAGCCAGTACAAATTCCTGTCATGATTTGTGGACATTAAAATCTAAAGAGAAGTTTTATCTCCTGGTCAGACCCTGTAATTCAGTGAAAGGGTGGAGTCAGAGTAAAGAAAATGCATGCCTAGGAGAAGGCCAGTGGCTGGAAGTTGGAGGGAACTTTGCTGGGAGTCATAGGGATGTAGGCTGCCATTCTTCTGGTAGTTCACTGGGAAGGACCATTTTGAAAGGCTGCTTCTGTAAGCAGAGCTATTCTTATATTTTGTCAACTGTACATTTGGTCATCACTGTCTCTGAAAACAAAGGCCAATAAAGGCCTTTCAACCCTTTAGCCCTCCACCCTTCCCACAAAAAATACCCTTCTGTTATGGCGCTTAAGACCTTGACGAAAAATTTGGCAAAAACGCAGGCGTATGTTGAATATACGGCACACATTGATACAGGGCAGGAATATCTGCTAATTTGATGCTCAAATTTTCTTGACCTATGCCAGCCTATGCTCATGCATGGGCCATAAGTTACAGGTAAGTTATGTGATCGTTGACACATGTAAGTTCATAAGTCGTGGTGTCTAACTTAAAGCTGCAGTCTGTAACATTGAGGAGAGAGCAGACTTCGACTGAAAATTTGAAGAAAAACAGATTTCACGCCACTCCCCCACCCTCTCTGCTTCACTCATGCCCTACCTCCAAGCTCCACCCCTCTCACAGCATCTGCGCGGCTACCGCATGCGACCAGAAGGGGGTGGGGGGTGGGGGGGGTGATTCAGCGTGTGTGAGCTGTGATTGACACTCCATCAGACGCTCCTCTGGC